ATGAAACCGTTACTGCTTGAAAATGTGGTTGTTGGTCAATACAAAGGGCATAACAAGGGAGGAAAGACTTATCCAGGCTATACAGACGATCCAACGGTTCCAAATCACAGTCTCACTCCTACATTTGCTGCAGCAGCCATGTTCATCAACAATGCGAGATGGGACGGTGTTCCTTTTCTTATGAAAGCCGGAAAAGCTCTCCATACCAGAGGAGCAGAGATCAGAGTTCAGTTCAGACATGTCCCAGGAAACTTGTACAAGAAAAATTTTGCGACTAATTTAGACAATGCAACTAATGAACTAGTGATCAGAGTTCAGCCTGATGAAGGCATATACCTGAGGATCAACAACAAAGTTCCTGGTCTTGGAATGAGACTAGATCGCAGCGACCTTAACCTTCTATACCGATCCAGGTACAACACAGTGCATACTTTCTGATTCTAGTTTTCTATCTAGATTATTTATCTTTACTTGTTTTGGGCTGATAGGTATCCAAGAGAGATACCAGATGCATATGAAAGACTGCTTCTTGATGCAATCGAAGGAGAGAGGAGGTTGTTTATCAGAAGTGATGAGCTAGATGCAGCATGGGATTTATTCACACCGGCTTTGAAGGAACTCGAGGAGAGGAAAATCATTCCTGAGCTTTATCCATATGGAAGCAGAGGTCCTGTTGGTGCACATTACCTTGCATCTAAGTACAATGTGAGATGGGGAGATCTTGGAGAAGCTTAAGCCGTGTGCCTTGATTAGGTGATATCAAAGATTTGGTGTTAATATGAGAAAACTAACTTGTCGATATGATTTGAGATTTTACAGCTATTATCAATGCATAGATATGCCTTGATAGATAGATACCTTGATATTGGTTCTCAATTTTCTGCCAAAAACTATATGTGATTTGTTTCTTTCCAATTTAGACTCAAATTGTAGATAGAATCCATGGCCAATTCTTAGGATTTGTAGTATAAGCTTTTAGAGTCGCCTACTTGCTTGACTGATTCTAAATGAACAAATTCAAAGTTTTTGCTTTATTTTAGATGCAGAAAATTTTCCATTTTCATAAATTTTAGATGCAGAACTATTACAGGTTTTATCTTCAGAGATAGCTAAAAAATAATATTCAATGAATCCATTGAACTTCAAATGCAGTCATACTAATTAAGTTCCTCGAATCCGGAAACAATTGTACATTTTCCTTCTTGTTCTTTCCACTGTCCCTACTCTCTAGGATTAGCTTAGTAAGTTTATTGAATATCTCACTCTCACTGTTGTTAGGCTTAGCAAATGCTAAATAACCTTTTGTTTAACGAACTGTTGTAACATATAAAACTTTTACACATTTCATGCTGATGTGTTGTGGTAAAAGTAATTGTAGGTAAAAAAATACTATGTATCGCTTGAGAATTATATTATTGTTTATCTTATAATTATAATACAATTTAATATTAAATTTTAAGAATATTATTTCAAATGTCACACATTTAATATTTTATATATTTCTTACATTTTTACACACTAGATATTTTTTAATAAAATTCATAAATCTTGCTAAATCATCTACATAATAATTTTGTGCCACCATTTTTATATGTGGATTATCTTTGTTTTTACGACACATAATTTAATTTAATTTTCTGAATATTCGAAATAAATTTAAGAACTTGGTTATTATATGAATTCTTCAATCTATTTGTAATACTTTTTAAAAACCATCCTCGACGATGAGAAACTAGAAAATTTATTATGAATTATTGCCCAAAAAAAATTCATTCTATTGAATCTCTTACTTTTATACATACTTACATTATTTACATATTATTTGATGGCAACACTCATCTAATAAACAATAGTGGTCATGATCAATTACCTGGATATTTTTGTGTTCGTATAATGTTGCAATCAGCTGTTCTTGAATTGCATGCTGAAAGTAGATCAACTGTGTTTAGATTCCTCGCTGATATTCTTCTTCACAACTCATTGAAATCGACAATTTCATTTCCGAGAATTTGATTCAAGTCTGCAATCAGCTATTGCATATATAATTCATTGTTTCTTAAATCGATTCAATCATCAATCAACTCATGAACTTAATTAATCAATTTCTGTAACTTATAAACAAAATCTTTCGGTTTTAACTTTACCTTTGATCACCACTCCGCTACTTCAATTACTCGAAAGATATGAACGGATTGGGCAAGATCTTCAATCTTTGTCGTGTCCGAGGTCGAAATTGAAGGAAATTTGGGTAGAATTCGACATTAGTTTTCTTGGATTAACGGTCGGAACTTTGGACATTTGCCAAACTGTTTTTTTTTTTTTTGTGATTTTCTTCTTTATTTTTTTTTAAAAAAAAAACAACAAACAAACTGGGCCAAATAAACCCAGAAATAGCCCACTAAACATCTCAGCCCCAATACAACAATTTCTTTTTTTCTAATTATCAATTACTACTTAAACTAATTAAATTGTTAATCTCATTAAACAAAATACAAATCTAATGCAGCTAAATATATTCAATTCTAAAATACAATATACTACATCATTTTATTACCAATTCATGTTTTCAACCAAATTAAAATACAAAAAAAATTAATAAATATAATAAAACTAACCAAATATTGTTTTTAAAATAAATCTAAAATACATTGTATAGTATTATTTATTTATACAAACAAAATAAACAATTATTGTCAAATAACTACTATACAACATAATATCCAAATAGTAATAAAGATAAAATTATATGATTTATTCCCTTTTATACTAAACTATTACACTATCTTAGATCTTACATATTTCATATTAAATGAACAATATAATTCAAAAAAATATATAAAATCCCGTGATGTACAGCACGGATCATCATCTAGTTAATAATTATTAATTTATCGATAAATTAATACCTCTTTAAATTAATAAAATTTTGTGGTCCCAACATTATTAATTTATAGAGGTTTTACTGTATTTACATATTATTTGATGGCAACACTCATCTACATTTCGAGAAAGGAGCATTTGTATGTTTTCTTCTCAAGAATTTTTTTTAATTATTATGAAACTATTGGCCGTTGGGTGTGATGTTTCAGCTGTCAATCTAACAATGATACATAAGGTTCATGGGAATTGCAAATTCAAATTGACAAAATACTTGGCACTCTGAAAAAGTCAGTACGCAACGAGCCACAACTTGACATGCATATTAATGCCCTTAAGAGATAGGCAAACTACTGTTCGATTATACAGAATCAACAATGCATCTAATATACCAGTACAAAGGGGTATTAAATAATATCACAATATGTGAAACACAACCAAAATGATACCAAATAAGAAAATAGACCAACTCCAACAAAGAAATCGAGTTGTTTAATACTACAAATTTCTTCCACGATAAACAAATTCAATTGTCTGGTATATCCAAAAAATGTGCGATGAACAATTTAGCGCTATAAACAAAGTGCAGAAAGAAAACTTACTCAAGACTCATGAGACAAAAAACAAAAGAAATTTGGTCGAAAATTCTTGGATGGTATTCTTCAAAGGAAAAACAAGTACATCCTATGTCAGAGTTGCCTGAAAGATCTTCTACACCTGGAGCCTGGAGAGCCTTCAATTCTATACACATCCTTTTCCCCCTTGTTCTCTCTCCCCCACCCAGACTATGGGAAATGCGGGAGGAGGAGGGGTTGTATCTCATCTCATTAATTCGATTTAAAGGACCGGTTGTGTAACGATTAACATAAGGGTGTAATGAATGACTCAAAGCTGGATTTTAGTTTTGTAAGTTTGGATGAATCAAGAGTTGTTTTTTAAAAATATTTTAATTGGGATATAAATTAAAGCCTTTTAATATGATATTTTCTATAAATTTTATTTTATCATTTAATTTTTTTAATTATTTTAGTATGTTTAATTATATTGGCGGATCCAGATCGTAGGTATTTTTAGATCCGGATCCATGATATCTAATTCGTGTCCACTCCTATGAATTGGTGAGTGTGGTAAGTGATGAGCTTTGCACTGAAGACATACTATGAATGTCTTTTTTGGTCAAACTGTGAAAATTGAGGAATGAGCATATTAGCATCCTATGATCATGTGTTGGTGAGTGTGGTAAGTGATGAACTTTGGACTGAAGTTCATGGTGAACCGTGGTTTAGCATATTAGGATCGTGATAGCTGCGATGTGAAAAAATGTGGGTTTAAGGTTTGGGATGACAGAATATGTCAAAATCTAGGTTTGAGGGTTGTGATGAAAGAATATGCTTAACCATATTTTCGAGAGTTATAGGTTGAACTATGGTTTCAAGGTTGTGATGACTGATTTGAACTAGAGATTTGGGACTACGAGTTTGATAACCATATTTTCGAGAGTTATAGGTTGAACTATGGTTTCAAGGTTGTGATGATTTGAACTAGAGATTTGGGACTACGAGTTTGATAATTCTGACAATTTTTTTGCTTTTAACTTATTATTTTCTTTATCATTTTTTAAATTGATAGATCTAACAATTTTTTGTGTTTAGCCACTACCAAATACGAAAATAATAATGTTGACTAATGTTCTGGGATGAAAATAAATATAGCAGATATTTTGTTAAATTCTTAGTGGTATATAACAAATATTTTACAAACGAAAATAGTTAAAAATCGTTGAATAACTTAGGTATAGTCTAGTGATTAACAATAATATCTTTTAAAATAATAAAATCAAATGTCACCATATTGAACCAATATTTTTGTTGGAAAAAAATAAGATTAGACGAATACCTTGATTTAAATGAAGCTATTTAGGAAACAAATAAATCTTTTTCTGCATCTATTTAAAAATTTAATAATAACAAATACTTGACAAAAAAATAAAAATAGAAAAAAACATACCTCCACAACCTGGGTCCCCCACCTCGGAGAAGTATGTCTTTATCTACACTTTTTGTCCTTTGTTTCCTCTCTCCCCCACCATTCTTTCTCCTCTCTCCGCTTCTTCTTCTTCCCCTGTTCCTCTTATAACCCCTCTCGTCTCATGTCTACCTCCTCCTCTTCTTCCAACAACGGAGACTCCGACGCCGGTGGAAGCGGCGGCGTTTTCGAGGCCCCTTCTCCTTCCCGCCCTCGCCGTGGCGCCAACGACGTCTGGCCGGAGCCTTTTCTTGAATCTCTCGCCGTTCAGGTCGCCGTTAATGCTTCCTCATCCTCCGGCCTCCTCGCCGCAGCTCCGGCTCTTGCCAACGTTTTTCGGGTCAGTTCTGACATTCTTTGAATACCTTCTTTTAGTTTCGTAACGGTCGGGACACATCAATTGTCTTGTGTCTGTCTATACATATATATGTACTTCAAGTAGTAAAATAATACTTTCGTTACACTATCTGAATTCGTTTATTAGCTTGTACGCTTATATTTGAACTTGAAAATAGTGAGACATAGATCTTAAACAGACAAAACAAAGTCAAAGTAGTAGTGGGTCTATCATAACTTAAGTGGAGGGACACAATCTTGGTCTAGTCAAATGTACTGCTTGTTTCAAGTGTCTTGTACTTTAGTTGTTTCTAAGCTTAGATTTGATTTGGCAATTCCTTCTTTTTGTTCTTAGAACAAAATTCTTATTCTTTAGATCATAATTAAGTGATGAAGTTCCTTAAATTCAATTGAATGTGGAAGTAGTTTCTAAGGTTGGGATTCTGAAGAGACAAAACAAATATAAGAAAAAGGAAAAAAAAAACTGACCTTTGGAAAGGTAACCGCCCTTTCTGTGTTTCTATGATGGGTCCAAGTCCAACTTTTATGTCTAACAAGACGACATTAATTTGATGTCACTTTCACATATCATATAGTTTGGGGACTTTGTTTTTCTTTTATGCATTTAGAAACTTTTTGTCTTCCATTTTTACCCAATAAGTTTATTTCTTTTTCTTTGTTCTCTCGTCCACTTTTGATACCTTTTAATGTCTATTTTTGGATCCTCTAAGGAGACCATACAACCCCATTTCGTTGTGTAATCTTTGTGAAATTTGGACATGTTAACGCTAATATTAATATTATAATATGGATTGGATCCCTTAGGGCACAAAATCAAGGTTTATTTTTTATTTTTTTGGCTTTAAATCTTCCTTTCTTGGCATGTAGAAAGCCCTTTTTTTTAAGATCAAGAAATCCACTTTTTGACTCAAAAGTTCTTACAACAATAATCAAATTAAACACTTTCTTGACTCCAAATATTGGTTGATAGACATTAGGCACAGTCTTTAGTCCAATGCCCAACACATTTAATATTTTTAAATTTTTTATTTATAACGGTATTTATCTTTTAATTGTTTAAAAATTATAATATTAGAAAGTGACCTCTCACGACAGACTCATAAAACTAGAAAATGTCGTTGCACATTTAAGAACATCTAAAAAGAGAATGAAAAAGAAACCTAAGTAAGGTCCTGTCTTTTTGCCTTGCCAATGTTAGTCCTATATTACCACATTAGGTTATTAGCTACATACATGGAAACTCTATTCATCAACATATACATGATCCATGTATTATATCAGCCATTCATACTATTCTCTTTAATAATCCTGTGTCATATATGACAATTGCTGTTTTTTTCTTTTGTTCATAAAAAAAAATATATAATACATATATATAATGCTGAAAATTTTTCTCATATATAGTAACGAGGAATAGTATATAAGTACATATGTACATTTTTTGCGTCCTGCTTTTGTTATTTTTTTCTCTGCCAATATTATGATCCAGTGAGTAATGCATGCAGAGCTTCTGACAACTTCTCATTCTCTTATTTTTTTCTCTCTCTAATATGTATACATGATAATTCTAAATCATTATTAAATCCATAATATTTTCTAATTAATTGAATTTTCAAATTTGCCAAACTGCAGTGTGGTTACAGCATAACACTTTTGTCAGAGAATTAAGGCTTTAAATCTAGAGTTTTCACTTTGAAATTGATCATGGATTCATCTTTTTTCTGGCTCGATTCATCTTTTCCATTGAAGTGGGTTTTTATCTTTTTTCTTTCCTTAATATTTTCAGTCAAAAGAGACGACAGTATGGGCACTACATATGCCGAAAAGCACATGGAACCCAATGTTAAGGGTCTCTTAGAGCACGTGGTATCGCTAGATTATACTATGTTCTTACATTTGATATATATATGACATATTAAAATACAAAAGGGAGATTCTGAATCTGGTCATCTTAGAACTCAGGAATATTTGAACTACTTTCTTATTTAAAGTATATCATAGCAGCATGTGATTGTTGATATGATTGGTATTTGGTAATTTGCATAATAATAAATTGGATTTGCCATTCCAAAATATGTTACTTTTGTATAGATCTAATTTATGATACATTTCGTGCCCTAGTGGCTAGATTATTGTTTTTTTTTAATATGATTATCTGACTAATATATCTGACTAATAGACGAGTAAACCTTTGGTTTGGCAAGATATTTTCGTTTTGTAATAGAGTTGGAAATATTTGTTTTTAGGTTATTTGGATGACTAGATAATAGAGCCTAGAGTACGAAGTCAAATACATAACTTTGCGTTTAATGAGGAATGAAGATAGACAATAAATAACAATATAAACGTAAATGTAGAGAATGTAGGTCCACGGATTGTTGGAGAGAGATGAGAGAGACAGAGAAACATCTATATATAAGTGTAATATTTGTGTATTTATGGGAAGCTCTACTTTTAACAAGACAAAGGCTTAAAGCTATCCTTTCTTGGAAATGAAAGAGAGAAGGGCACGCTTGTTGGCAAAGTCGTAATCTCATGTTCAGCTTAAACTCATTTAAAGTCTTCTCAGCTGTCGTAATAAATTAACATATCATCTGTTTTGTATTATTGTCACATTGATTTGTTTTTTGGTTGTTTTGACATGGGACTAGGGCTTCCTCTCGTTATTCCTTTTACACTAGGGCTTCTGTTGTAATATCTCTATAGCTTCCAGAGATTGATTAGTCCCGTCAATTGAACATATGTCATAAAATAGATTTAAAAAAATAAATGAGTTGTGTTTTCGATGAGTAAGACAAATATTACGCAGAGCTTGTGTCTGAGTCTGTCGTTGTCTTTCCATCTTCCTAGTCCCTATATATAGAGTCTTTCATGCTTCGTTGCAGGCCTACTTATCTTCTTTCTATGTCTTTTTACTCTCCCCTATTTATTTTATTTAACCAACTCCTTCCTTCTGTTACATTTATTAATTAAGCTACTAATAATCTTTGTTAAAACTTTAGTAGTAATCTTTTTATGTTTTCTTAATCGCAGGTTTGCACCACGTGGCAAGCTGTCTCTCGCTCCGACCATCTATGGCAACTCCTCTCTCGCCAAGTGTGGGCAAGAACCCATTTGATGCACGACACGTGGCGGGATGAGTTTATCTACCGTCATCGGACGGCCAGAAACTTCCGGACGCGTACTCACACCTACTTCACTCTCCAATTTGACCCGTCTGATGTGGACGAGCCTGATAGTCTCTCATGCCGTTGTCTCACTCTCTCCGACCTCTACTTAGCCGCAGGGTTCGCCGACGGAACCGTCCGGCTCTTTCTTCTAAATAACCGTCTCCACGTCAGGACTCTACGGCCACCTCTACGTGACCGCTTTGGCCGATTCTCACGAGCCGTCTCGGGCATTGTTATATCCGACTCAAGACTCACGTTTGCTACGATGGACGGAGACATCCACGTGGCGGAAATAGACGGCGTTGGTCATACACGCACGGCTTACGCCGGAGACATAGTTAACGACGGTGCATTGGTAGATTTCACTGGCTGTGGACGTTGGTGGGTCGGTCTTTTCGCTGGTGTACCAGGTCGTGCCTTTCACATATGGGACTGTAACAGCGAAGAGACAACATTCGTCGGTGGTTCACTCACTGATCCAGAAGCCGTCATGGGATGGCACACGTTAACAGAGCTAACAACGTCACTTGGCCGTCTAAGAATTTCCGGTAACGAGACGGCCGTAGCATGCACGAGGTGGAGGATCATGGTGATCGATCTAAGAAACCAAGGAGTGATCATCGGAGAAGACGAAGAGCAACGTAGAGGACTAATAGTAACAGGTTTCGACGCCAACGAAGAAGCGTACGTTAGAATGGACAGTAGAGGTAACGCTAGCGTGCGCAGGGTGAACACACTGCAAACGGTGTGTGAGTTCCGTGTTAGTGGAGCGGCGCAGAGGAGAGTCATGGGTTGTGTTAATAGACTGAACGCGCTAATGTGCGCAGGTGGTATAATGCGCGTGTGGGAGGTAGAGAGAGGAGAGTATCTGTACAGTGTTAGGGAGAGAGTAGGAGAAGTTGACGCCATTGTTGCCGATGATAGACATGTGGCGGTTGCTTCGTCTTCATCAACGGCTCAGAGTATTATACATCTATGGGATTTCGGTGCACTGTAGCGTACAAGATTAGTAATATATTTAACTTGAAGAAAAAGAAACTATTTTTCTCTGAAAAAGCGAAACCCTAAACCTAGGTGTATATGTAGGGTTTCTGATTTTTAATTAAATTGGGAAAGTGACGGAGGGAAGATGGTGACAGGAGGGTGAGATTTACAAGGGAGATTGATTCTTTCTACAGAGTTTGACCAAAAGTACGTTACTGTTTTTGTCTAAAACCAAACAAAGTGGACTTTTTCTTATTGTTCTTGTTTTTTCTTCTTCTTATGTTTAGGGCTCTCTCAATTCTGACTTTTGTACGTGTCGTTTTTTTTTTTTTGTAATCTTCATTTTATTAATATTTTTTTTCTTCAGTTTATTATTTTGTATAATAGTTTTAAGAAATATTCAAGCTTAAGAATTATTTTATATCATATCAAAATCGATAGAAAGGTATAAAAATATGAATTATGAAATCTAAACTTAGGATTGTTTGTTATTTTCCGAGGGTATGATCGGAGCACATCCCAATTTTAGAATAGATTTGAGTGAATTAATATGATCAATTTCATATTTATATACAGAATTACAAGGTGTTTTGATGTAATTCTTTTTTCTTTTAAATAGATTCATGTGTTTGAATTGTCTACATCAGTATACACATATTTATATTTGTATTGTTATAGGTTTCTTGCAAGTGGAGTAAATGAATACACTGATGACGGTAAAAATATTTCCGAGCAGAGAAAGAAAGAAAGATGATGAAAACTAGAGGTTTGATGAAGATATAGCATGTAGATGGATGGTGATAAAATGAAGGTGGTGATGGTGACAATAAGAATGTGACCAAATACTTGAGTTCACTCTTAGGGGTGAACCCTTTTATTCACCTCCTTTTGTTTTAACCAATAAGATTTCGCCGCATAAATAAAAAATATTAAACTCATTTAATTATTAATTTAATCTCTAATCACTCTTTTGTAAACCCAAACCGATTTAAAACCTCGTTTAATTACAAAATCTAAACCATAATTCTCCTTTGTAAACCCAAACCGCCATTAAAACTCGTTTAATCGTAAAAAATCTAAACCCTAATCGTACTTTCTAAACCCAAACCGACATTTAACCTCGTTTAATTGTAAAATATAAATATGTTTATAAACTCAAACCGATATTTAACCTCGTTTAATCATAAAATCTAAACCCTAATCGTACTATATAAACCCAAACCGACATTTAACCTCGTTTAATTGTAAAATCTAAATCCGTTTATAAACCCAAACCGATATTTAACCTCGTTTAATCATAAAATCTAAACCCTAAATTTTTCTAATAAACCCAAACCGATACATAATTTCGTTTTAGTGGCAAATTAGATTTTATAATTAAATAAAAAATTTCTTATTATTATTAAGTAGCAGATTCTGATTAGCTGAAATAAAAGGGGTGAATATAAGGCTTCATACCTAGGAGTGAACCAAAGTATTTTTCTAAAAATTTAGACAATCTCTATTTGAAATATTTTTATAATTGTTCTGCATTCTTAAACATATTATGTTTAGATATTTAGTAGAATAACATCAAGATGTATGTTTTGTCATCTAAAAAGATTATGGCTTTGATTGGTGAACAAAAATAAAGCTGTACAGCTTTGTACAGCTTTGACAGTTACCAATCACAAAAACTTTATGAAAAGCGGTACACTATAACATAAACAGTTTTTTTTTGACAAAAACAAAAACAAATTAAAACGGTTACGGTTAAATACGGTTATGGTTAAATACGGTTACTATTAAATACGGTTATGGTTAAATACGGTTACTATTAAATACGGTTATAACGGTTACGGTTAAATACGGTTATAACGGTTACGGTTAAATACGGTTACAACGGTTACGGTTACAACGGTTACGGATAATTACGGTTATAGTTATTTGATGACTACAATACGGTTAATATCGGAGGCGAAATCTTACGAGTTACCTAACTTATTATAATACTTTTCATAAAATCAAAAAGTATGTTACAAACCAAATTTTCTTCATTTCGAGCAAAATAACAATATAACATATTTGTTTGAGAAAAAGACCATTTTTTATAACGTAGATTTTTTCATATGCGGTATCATTTACTTTTTTGAAAATCTTAATCTGAACATTCGATAATTGTTTTTGCATTATATGGAGTTGCAATTATATTTTTAAAGTTTTAACTATGCGGTTACCCATATGGTTAAATAACGGTTTTCATATGTTTACCGTTAATTAACGGTTACGGTTAATATATTTTTTAACTGTAACTAATTATTTTTTACGGTTAACGGTTACGGTTTTTAACCGTTTTATACGGTTACGGTTGAGAAACGGTCCGGTTACGGTACAACATATGGTTACGGTTAGCTTTTGGTCATGCTTACTAAGCATGACCAAAAGCTAACCGTAACCGTATTTTGGATCGTAACTGGACCGTTTTTCAACCGTAACTGTATAAAACGGTTAAAAACCATAACCATTCACCGTAAAACTAGATTAGTTACGGTTTAAAAAAATATACTAACCGTAACCGTTAATATACCGAAAACGTATCAAAACCGTTATTTAACCGTACGATTAGCCGCACAGTTAACCGTATTATTAACCGCATAATTAAACTTTATAAAATATAATTGTAACTATGTATAATGCAAAAAAAAAAGTCTCGAATGTTCAGATAAAGATTTCCGAAAAAGTAAATAATACAGCCTATGAAAAAATCTCATTAGAAATAATGGTTTTTTCTCAAACAATTATTTTGGAATGTTATATTGCTCAAAATGAAGAAAATTTTTAATCTATATAATCTTAATTTTCATATGTAATTATATACTAAAGTACATTTCTATGTAATTTTTTTTCTTTCTAAATTCTTAATATTATTTATTATGTGTACCGCTATGATGTTTCCAATCAGAGTAAATTTTTAAAATTTGTTCTGCGTTATTTTTTTGTACAGCTTTCGTGTTTTATTCTTTTGTACAGCTTTGCACTATTCCCTAACAGCTAACAGCTCCAGCTAACAGCTCCAGCTAACAGCTAACAGCTTGTTACCAATCAGACCCTATATTAAAGAAGAAGTAGATTATATTTAAAATGATTGACTGCCTAGAATCGTGTGTTGAGAATAAATTCATATTATTTTATCTCTTTAGAAAACTTTTATAGTGAGAATAATATATAACATCAAAATGTATGTTTTGTCATATAAAAAATTTCATGTAAGATGTTATGTAGAAGGTTGCCTTTGAGATTATTGTTCTTTGTTACAAAATAAATTAAATTGGTAGTCAGTGTATATATCGATGAGTATATTCGTGATCAATCAGGTTACTGAAATGGTTAAAGAGAAGAATAGTTTAAAAATTGTTTGATAAAGATTTTAAGGTGAAATCAAATTGATATAAATGCTATTAAAGAGGGTATGTTGAATTGGAGTACTCTACTATAGCATTTTAGAATCATTAAACCGAAAGTTCAAGAAGCGAGAATTTTAAAAACTTATTTTTGTCATGTGAGCCAATGACGAGGGAGAAACAAAAAAACAATAAAAGGGAGGGCATCAGAACATTGAGCTGGAGATGAGCAGATGGTCGATGGAGAATTGAGAAATCATCAGAAACCGATCGGTAATGTACGTGTACCGATCGGTGTACACCACCACCATAAACTGATTGGTAATGTTTATATACCGACCGGTAGTGGAGTCAAATATTTGCAACATCATGCACATCAACAACAGATTCGTGGGAGGCACAACACTTCTAGTTGGTTCTATGCCAACAGAACCGTGATCTCACCTCAAATTTACTGGCTACCTTGTTAGAGAACCTATATAAAAATGATTAGAATTTTGGAAAACAGATTATCGACAAAGCCTAATAGAGAAAGGGAGGCTAGCCACGTGAGACAGAGAAGAGGAGCTGATCATGTTCGTGGTTATGAGGAGCTGAACAACCACTGTTACGAGTAAAATTACCTATAAAAATTTTACCCTTAATATAGACCGCAAGTGCACAGGCAATCGCAATAGTATTTAGAGATCAAATCCACAAGGACCAAAGAAACACACAAATGACTTGCAAAGACTTAAACTAAGCTAGGATAAAAAGAAATTAGAATCACTAATATAAGGCATTTTGCATGAATAAAATAAAATACATAATAAAAATAAATAATATACTATATAAGAAATGAAATATCAAAGAACTCATCAAAGAATGTATAATATGCAAGTAGGATTACATATGATTTTAAGTGAACTTGAAATTAGACTTCTATTGTAAACTATCCTAATGGTGTTTTAGTGATAATTCTGCAAAGGGATTTCTTGGTATCATAGGCCTCGGCGAACAGCTCGGTCCATATGAGGAGAAATCCAATCATGCATTAAGAACATATTCTACAAAACTAATAACAACTGTGGAGATGCTTGTTAAGAAGTTTTGCCTTTCTTTAGATAGATCCATCTCGTCCAATACCATGGTAAGGCTAGACAAGATTATGGGCAATAGGCGAAACCTATAGTTTGAGGCTGAAGTTTTAAGAATAATCCAAAGGCTGAGAACAAGTAAAAAGGATAACAAGAAACCTACATTTAAAGCCGTAAAATACTTGGATCTCTGTGGAGATTCTCAATTATCGACAAAGTCCAGGTCGTACCGGTTTCGATCAGTGGAGTCATGCTCTACCGATCGGTAATACTCCATGATAGAACTACTCACACATGACGAAAGTACATGTTATTATTGTAGAGTAGGGATCATGAGTATTAAAGGAGATCTACCAAAGAAATCTGAATTCTAAAGCATAAACAATAAAGAAAGATGAAGAAGGGAAAAACACCTAAAAACTATATAAAAATTCAAAGTAAAGCATATCTCTACGACTACAGAATGAAGGATAAATAGGAGATGGGAAGCATCCTTAATTGAGAGAAAGAGAAGGTTTTAAAAAAATCCCACCAATCGGTAGACAGGCCCAACCGATCAGCGGTCCAAGCGAATCTTCACTAGCCGGTGCC